ATCGGTATGGCGATTAAATATTCTTCTTAGCATGAGGTTATATTTGCCAGTATTATTTTCCATCACCACCTATGGCATAGGAAACCTTTAACTTCCAATTCAAGGGCCCCATGTTACTGCCCTTAATTTGGTCTCACTGGTAAATGTAAGACCCAATAAAATGATCATTTTGTAATTTTCCTGTTCATAAACTTCTCAAAATTAGGAAGTAGATCAGTTTTATTGCGTAAGAGTCCAATCCGCAATATAGACAGGTTGTGGAAAAAGTTAATGATGAAGCGGGACCCAGAGTTGAGAAATGGACAAAAAAACCAACAACCTCACATACACATACAAGCAATTGATGAATATTAAATATAACATGAATTTATGTGATTAAACGATATTAAAACGCAGGCTTAGATCATCCCAGTAATAAAAAACTATAGCTCCGGCTGCCCTGCTTCACCGAAGTAAATCTTACATTAGGTCGGCAGAGTTTGGCACCCAAAGCAAAGCCACCACCGACTCCAAGGGTGCCGAAAGGGCCCGGATCAAGCCAAGAAAGAGGCCGCCTTGGCCTAATAATATAAGAAGCAGAAGCCACAAAGTCTCCGCCATCCGCCACTATTATGCTGTCCTCGTCATCTACAGCCACCGAAGTTGCATCAGCTGGGGACACTTCAGACTAAAATGGAAAAAAATAAAAGGATACAGAGTAAATGAACTAGACAATGTTTAGAGAAACCTCCTAAGGCAGACAATGGAAATAAGCATTACAAGTCATATAGATAGATGAATTAATGCATGCATTGAGGTATAAATAGAGGGCCGATTTTTTATTATTCTTGCTCGTAGAAAACCACAAACAAGTGCTAGATATAGTCATAATTAATGAACAGCGTTGCTAGACTGAGAGTGTGAATAACTTTCACATTTCAGCATCACGAGATAGAACCCTTCTTGCGTTATTCTGTTCAGCTATTGCGCCTAAATAGCCCTCACCTATTAAAAATACTCCACTGCTGTGAGATAAGAAAAATAATCATTAGACTTATCTTATTTTGAGCATGTAAATGAGACAGTGTTCAAATATACTGGCACCCAGAAGTATTGAGCCTGGCATCATCCACAAGCTAGGAATACTTGATAAGCGATATGGAGAATATGAGTAGCAGAATGAGGGTAAATGGTGAAGCAGCTGTCATATCTGTCTTAAAAGAAGAGATAACTCAAATGCCGTCTATGAAAGCTAATATAAAAGCATGCAATAATAACAATCTAGGCTTGAGGATAGGTCAATTCCAAATGGCGCCGGAATGTACATGACAGAGATAGCTGAGGCTCTTGTGAGAAAGGCAATACCAGCAAAAGAAGTATTAAAAATTAAAAAATCAAATTACAAGCAAATTCGAGAAAATAGAAGATGGTTCATGATGCAATCGTAAAAACAGAAAAAGGGTAACATTACATGTAACGAAAAGGATGAAATCTTATGAGTCTTCTTTTTATGACCATACTATAATAAACCCTAGAATTATCTAGAAAAAATAACTAAATAAACATTTTAAAGAGAATTTTGCACCAAATAAAAATATAAACCTAATAGAATATTATTGAAGTTATCATAAATTTGTCGAGGTTCGCCAGTTTTGACTGTAAGCTTATTGAGCTGATAACGTTTATGTCCACTTCATATATAAATGGCATACTGGTAGTCCTGAAAACATAAGTAACGTAGTCGATTGCTATATCAAATAAACCTTTGCTACATCGACAATCCCGACACAGAAATACCTGGCTTTCGTTGAAATTCACATCCGTCTTGTGACCCAAGGACAATAGTGGGAATGTGGCGTAGTGGTTAACGTGTCGAGATGGTCATGGTTCGAGTCCGGCTGGGGTGTCGATAATGCCTAGGCGAGGTCGAAACTGCAGTCCACCCTGTATAAGAATACCTTTTGGGAAGGCAAGGCTATGAAATATGATGGAAATGTAAGGTCTACTCTTATAATTATGAGAGTTACAACTACCGCTCCTCTTATCACCTTAAACGAAATAGGATGAATACACTTCATATATAATTTGAGAGAATATTTGTTTTTCGTATCAGTTACCATGTATCCTGAAGGTCCGTACGGTCACAAGAACGAAATTCACAGTAAAATGCATAACTTACGAGCAACTCAATTTTCCTAAAAATTGATACTTTCTGTGTTGAACAATATGGTTGGAACCAAGCGGATTAGGGAGTGGCGTAGTTGCTTCTTAATCCACGTGTTCATGATTCAGTTTATCCTTGGAATATTGACTTACGTGACAAAGCAAAGCTTCTCTCAACTTTCATTGTACTGTCGGCAATCCCGTAAGGTAGGCGACAGTTTGCATGCCATAATTTTATAACAAACTTAGGCATATAGAGAAGGTAAAAGCCAAGTTATCATGTAATGTGAGAAAAAATTAAAACGAAGATAAGAAAAAATTCTACCTGCTGGCCAAGACCTTCGTGCTCGAGGCGCCATAGTACCTGAAGCGGGTTAAGATAAGAGTTTGGCTGCACATCCCTCGCACTCTCTTCAATTTCAGCATCTCGTTGGTCTTCACGAGCCCTAAGTACCGCCAACCAGGATGGAGGGGAGAGGCGTAGAATGGAGGGGGGCTCAACAGAATCACAGGGGGGGGATTTCGTAAAGTCCAAGTCCTGTTTTTCTAGCTCAGATCTAATAGGAGCCAGCTGATTGAGTAACACTGTGAGCTGTTTAAGGCTTGAACCAACATCAGCCTGTACTCCAATGCGTAGCTTCCAGAAGAGATCAGAGTTCTGGGAATAAAGGAAAACAAGGACGGGCAAGAAGAATAAATGGAACATGAGAAAATACGGCTAGATTTTAATTGATTATTACAGCAGCCTTAATATCAAGTTTGGCTTATATGAGTCAAAAGTAAAGTTAAGTAAAAATTGAATTTATTGATGAATTTGGCGATATTCTCGTGGCCTAGATGTAAAGTGAAACAGATGTAATCTGACCTTTATTTGGGCTAAAAGTGGAACAAATAGAGGAAATTTTCATGGATGTTGTCGAAATAAGAAAGCGGTGATATAGGAATATAATAAAAAACGATTGGCCAGAAGCATGAGTGGGACATGGGAAAATACGGATCGATTTAGTGATTATTCCGACAGCTTTAATAGCAAGTTTAGCCCATAGGAATCAATCGATTAAAGTGATATTTGTGTATTCAAGCAACCAATAATCAGCTCATTAACCAGTAAATTTAATAACCAAAAAGCTATTCAATAAAGCAAAAAAGATATTTTAAGGGGGAAATGAGTTAACTCATAAGCGTGAATAAAGGTTAGAGGGCAAATAAATTGCTAATTCATGATTACAAATGGCTCCGGATCAACAGTGGATAAGTTGAGAATTAATTCGGGGAGTTATTGCTAAAACGAAATAAGGCAAAATACAGCATAGGAAATCTATGCCTAAAGATAGTGTTATCTGAACTGAAAAAAACTGGTAAAAATTGTATTTTTTTTAGGTATCCTAAAATTAGCATGAATCAATTTGTAGTGTGCCGGTAAGAGCTAATATAAACGAAATCCCTCTTCAGCTATGATTCCTTGAGAATATATAGACTAAAATCAAATGATGTATAGCAAGAAAAAGAAGATAGAAGCTATTATAAACGAGCGTCATAATGGTGGACGAACTTTATGCTAAAATAGGTGGTCAATCGATAAAAGAATGATATCGAAAGATAGTAAGAATGACCCTAAAATGTCCATTGATGGCAAAAAATGCATCCATAAAGTTGTCAAATTGAATGTCTGATCATTAAAAGCAAAATTAAATGTTCTTATCAAACCACTTTTGCCTCAACTGGCGACAATTTGCATGAAAATCAAACACGGTAAGAATAAAAACGAATGGCCTGCTTAGCCAAGGGAAGCGGTATTTTAAAAAGGTAAATTTCGCCCGGTTTGGGTTTAATTTTGTATAAAATTTCTTCCTTAATCGAAAAAATTCATTTGCCAAATAATAAATAATTATAAGGGTGCATTTAATTTCGCAGCCAGTATTAGGATAGATAATTTAAGTAAGAGAAGAAATGTTACGATGTCTTGCTAATTATTCGGAATAATGTATGCCGAATTAACCTATTTCTAGAAGTAGTTTGACCTTGTTTTCGCAACTCGGTCATATTGGTAGGAAGACTTATAGGAACGCACCTTATCCGGATCCATTGTATACATAATCATTTCCAAAGACGGACCGTGGACGTGGTACATTTCCAGACGTTTTGCTGGCATCGTAGTCGCTATCGTCAGTGTGTTTCGCCAGCACCATATTACAACTCGTCAAAGAGACAAGTTAAGCCGATCCTTTGACCAAACGTGGGCTAAACACCTATGGTATCCCCCCTTATGCTCTGGCCTATTCACATTTCATATGTCCTCCTAACACGCCTTCATTGTCACAATTTTTTACTTGCTTTATTAAATGCGGTAGTGGTAAGGTGTGCCCTTTTGAGCGGCAATCATGAGAACCCTCCACACTGGCCTACTCACCCCCCTTCATTCTTGTGCTGGGAGTGTTCATCAGAGTCTGCCATATTGTTACGCAGGCCTCCTTCCCTAGGTCCTACAACAGTCTCTCTCTTACCCCGTAAGCTCCGTCTGCCCTCTCCCTTGTTCACATATTTCACTCGACCCCTGCCACCCTATCTGTGCCATTGAGGCGTTATCCACCCTGTCCTGCGTCTGGGTGACTAATTTGAGGCTCAAGCCTCTGAGACAATGTCATGATCAGGCCTTTGCCACATGGACCACGTCTCTTATAAAAACTACTCTCAGCCCACTAGCTCCCATCGCCGCCGTGTCTATCCTGTTTCTATCTCTAATACCAAATCTAGGACTGGCAATGGCCTAGTCTCTTGTGTGCCAACCCACAAATGTTGTGATACTGCTTGCTTTGGTTAGGTTCAATGTTG